AATTTCAATTAATTATATTATTTCATTAGATTTTATCTAATTTGAGTTTATTTTATCTATACTTATTTATAGTTTTATAGATAAATATATATATATATATATATATATATATATATATTTGTTCATTTTTAATCAAAATAATCAATTTTTTAGTAAATTTAATAATTTATCTTCACTTATTTGTATTTATATCACTCTCTTTTCTAATACTTATAATAATTATTTATTGAAATTTATTTTTTATATAATTAATTTAAAAATATATTATTATTAGAAATTTTTTGTATTTTATTTAAAAAAATTTTTGTGCATTAATAATATTTAAAGGTACTAAACTATTTTTTTTTTCTTTAACATATAAATATTTTAAAATTTAATCTATAAAATTCTTTAGAGTTAAATGTACCAGAAAAAAAAATGAATACTACATAATTATTTTTTATTTGTTTTACGAATATAATAATATTTTTAATGATATTTCCTTACTATTTATTTTATTTAATTAAATAAACAAATATATTACTTTATTCGTCAGATTTTTTTTACATTATATAATACAAAAACCGAAATTTCTAAATATTTACTTTAAAAAATATAACAAAAAATTTAATAAATACTTATTTTCTTTATAAATATATTTAATATATTATAAATATAAGAAAATAAATATAATTTAATTAATTTATTAAAAAAAAAAATTCATTAAAATTTATTTTATTAATAATTTTTATAAAAAAAATAAGTATTTAACAAAAAAAAATTCTAATAAAAGTACAAAATGCATTAAAAATTTAATTATTTATATAAATAAAAATAAAAATAAAAAAAATAATAAATAATTTGAATATAAATAAAATAAATTAATAATATAAATCAATAAAAAAAATAAAATTAAAATTATACATTACTAATATCTATATATATACTTATAAAAATATAAAACTTATATTCAAAAATAGGAAACAAAATAATAAGTAAAAACTAAAACATTCTAAAAAAAATAAAGAATATATAAAATATTTAATAATTTAATTGAAAAATTTATCTTAATACAAATTAATATAAAAAATAAAATTTATATATATATAAATATATAAGTATATAAATAAAATATATATATATATATATATACATAATTATTATTAATTTATTAAATATTATTTAAAAATTATATATTCTTTAAAAATAAAATTAGTGGAAAAACATGAACTTAAATTAAGACTAAATAAATGATTAAAAATTCATTTTATCTTAAATAATCTAAAAAAAGATTTATATACATATCATGAACTAGAAAATCTATAAAAAGAAATTGAAAGTTTACAATAAGTCTAAATGACCTTAAAAAATATAAATAATACTAAAATATAAATCTAATGCAAGCATTTCAAATCAATGAAATGTACATTTTAATTAACTTTTAAATCTCATAATCCTCTAAAGAATATTGAATAAGAAAACTAAATTATAGAAGACGATGTAATATCTTAATATGATGAAATATCTCCTTTTCATATAGACTAGTAAGTGGAATAAGAAATAAGTTAAATGGAAGAAGAGAATTAAAAAAATATAAATAATAATGAATAATAATAAGAAAATTTACTCAATTTAAACTTCAAATTAAGCATATGTAGACTTTAACATAGAAATCACCCTGTAATGAATGACGAAAAATATAAAATTCATTTAGCCAAAAGATGGATATAAGGTCATGCTGGAAAAATCGAAAAAATATATAATGAAATAAAAGGAAAAAAAATAACTCCAAAAAATATAATGGAGTAATTAAAAGAATAATATGATATAGATATATATGCTAAATGTGTTAAAAAAGAACATAAAAAATTCATAAAAAAAAACTAGACAATATCTTAAAACAAATAAAATAAAAAAATAATATATTAAACATAGATAAAAATCAAGTTTAAAAAATGAAAAAAAAGAAAAATCCTTACAAAATATAAAAGTAAATATATATAAATTAGGATATAGAAGAAACATAGGAGGAATAGAAATAGTCATAAATATAATAGTTAAAATAATAATAGTAATAATAATAATAGTAATAATAAAAATAATAAAAATAATAAAAAAAATACTAAAAATAATAATAATAATAATAATAATAATAATAATAATAATAATAATAATAATAATAATAATAATAATAATAATAATAATAATAATAATAAGTATAATAGTAGTAAGCAAATAATTTATGTTCCCCAAAATTAAATTCTTTTTAAGTTAATAAATGTAGGGAGGAATAGGAGAATTTTTAGGACATTGAATCACCTGGTTTTTTGTAACAGGCATATTGAACTTTATATTGCATTTTAATTTTTTTTATTTTAAATAAATTTATTTATTTAATTTAATATTTTATTTCAAAATCTTTCAATCTAAATAATCTAAAAATTTTTTATAAAACTTAAAATAAATATCTATATATATATATATATATATATATATATATATATATATATATATATATATATATATATATATATATATATATTTAAACACAAATTTTATATTATAATAAATATAAATAACAGAATATTAAATTAATTCTTATTTAAGTTTTTTATTTTCGACTTTAATATAAATAAAAATCACAATTTGTTTTTTTCAATAAATATTTCTTTCCTTATCTATTAAATTTTTTGATATCTATCACAAATACCTTCAAAGTCTTTAGAAGTTATATCATCAGGAAAATAAAACCTATATCTATTATATAAAATATAAAAACATTAATAATATAATTTAAATAAAAGAAATACAATAATCTAACTTCTTATGAAACTTAATCATTTTATTCATAACCTATTTTTTTAATAAATTTATTCATATTATAATTATCAAAGAAAAATCCTTTTGAACTTAAAATACCTTTTTATTTTTTATTTATTTAACTATCTATATATTTATACTAAATTTATTTACATCCACAAATAATAATTTTATTTGACCATTTTTTAAATTTATAAAAAGAAAAAAGAAAAGTTGACATAATAGCAAAATTTTATATTTATAATTCTCTATTTCGATAGTTTAATAAATCTTTAGCCATATCACTTTATTTATTTTAATTTAAAAATTTAAACAAGATAAATTAATAAAATACGCATATTCCAATTAAGAAATTATATTAAACATTTTTTCTTTATCAATATTTAAATTTATAAAATTTCTTATAAAAAAAGGCAATTTAACTTATTATTCCGAATTTAATTGTTAATGAACATTTAGTAAATCTAAAATTGTTTAAGTTATAAAATTATAACTTTCTTTTTAGTCTTTTTAATTATCAGTAGTATTATTCATCTATATAAAATACTTTTATATAATAAAATTATTTATTTAGATTTTTTTTTTTATTAATATAATATATTTATATTTAATTTTTTTAAAAAAATAAATTAAAGTTTTAAAATAAAATTAATACTAACTTTTATTTTTTTACAATTCTCTATAATTTATTTTAATAGATAAAAATTAAGATTTTGTTTAAATATAATATATTATAAATCCATATAATATTTTCAAAATTAAAATACAAAAATTATATATATTAAATATTTAATTTTTATAAATTATATTCTAGTTATTTTAATATGTTCACTATTTTTTTTATAATAATTAATTATTTCATATAATATATGAACTAAAAAATAGTAAAAACTTTAATTATTTCTATGTTTTTTATATAATTTTAATTGTTTATTTATATTGTATTTTATTATTTTTTAGAAAAAAAAAAAAAAAAAAGAATATATATTTTTATATATTAATAATAATAAATATTAAATTAATAATTTTATTTTAATATAAAAAATAAATTATAATAATAAATTTAATAAAAAATAAATAAATAAAATTAAAATTAAATGTTTTTTTTTTTTAAAAAAAAAATTTACATTATTTTAAAATTTGTATTATTATTATATAATCAACTTTATAAATAACAAATCAAAAATCTAAATAAAATAAAATTAAAAAATAAATGATAAATATAATAAGTTCAATAGATTTATTTGGAAGTAATATAAAACTCCGATATAATAACAGAGACCAACATAAGACATTATTCGGAGGAATGGTGACTATTATAATAGCTTTTTTAATATGCGTTGAGGTATATTTAATCGGTATTGAAATAATAGAAAAAAAAACCCTGAAGTTATTTTCAGTAACGAAATTTCAGAAAACAATGATCGCGTAGATATTCGTTCTGATACATTTACAATAGCATTAGGTATATAAAATTCAAGTTGGTCTCATTTTATAGACGAACAAATTTACACTGTAAAAGCTGAATAATACATCAAATAGAAAAGATATGATGAAGTAAAGTAAGAATATATATCTAATGAGTAAGTAATTGATATAAACCTAGTAAAATGTAGCGAATCTTAATTTAATGTACCTGGTACTTAAGAGAAATTCAAAAAACTGGAATAAAAAGAAAGTCTTTATTGTATAAACCCTAGTTAAGAAGGAATTCATCTAATTGGAGATTTCGACTCTGAAAATTATTCTTTTATAAGATTTATTTTCAAAGCATGTAAGGACTAAGAAAAAGGCTGTAAAAGCATTAAAGATGTAAAAAAAACACTTGAAAAGTCTTTTTTTGCAATGTATTATTCAGATACTGTAATCATTCCTAAAAATTATACTAATCCATATTAATATAATTTAAAAAATAATTTTTATTTCACTTCATATTCTTATAATAAAGAAGTTTAATTTTATATGAAAAATAATTATATTTATTCAGATGTAGGTTTTATTACATCTGTAGAAGAAAAATAAAGAGCTACATAATAAAATAATTTAATTGAAGCTGTAATATAAATTAAATAAATATAAAAATAAAAAAAAAAAATAGTAAAAATAATAAGAATTTAATAAACATATATATTGATATAAATAAATATATATATATAAAAAAATAAAAAGATATATTGATATATTTAAATATATATATATTATATATATATATATATATATATATATATATTTCATATATAAAAATATTATTTATATATATATATATATATTTAATTGATTTCTTTTATTTAGACATATTTTGAATAAAGTGAAGAATTTTTTACTTTAATTATAAGAATGGAAAAAGGAATAGAAGGTGTATATACTAGAAGATATAAAAAATTTTAAAATTTATTAGCTGAAGTAGGTGGTATTTCTAAAGCTTTATTTTTTATTGGTTTTGTTTTAAGTTTTCCAGTATCTTTATTGAATTTACATATTAATCTAATTAAAGAAATTTTCAATTTTAAAAAATATAATAAAGATGAAAATGATGAAAAAGAAGATGGCTAAATAAGTGAAGCATGTGGAAAAGATTAAAGAAAATCTGACATTATAGATATGAAAAAAGATTAAAAAAATGAGGAAAAAATAAGAATGGAAACTCAAAACAAATAAAAAATGGCAAATAAAAATATAAAAAACAATAAAGATGAAAATAATTTAATTAATTTATACTGGATCGATTATATTTTGTATTATTTGTGGCCTTTTGGATAAACCAAAAATAGAAAACAGACAATTAATTATGCCATTAAGAAAATATAGAATAATCTAGACACATTATTTATTATTTAAAAATTACACGAAATAGATAAATTAAAAGTACTTCTTTTGGATAAAAACTAAATTAAATTATTCGAATATTTACCAAAATAATTAATTTATATAGATGATAAAAATATGATAGTGAAATAAAAATAAAAATATAAGAAAAATTTAAGAAGATAGTATAGAAGAGGAACTGTTTCCTGATTAATTTAAGACTCTATAAGAAAAAGCAAGTGAGGCTTTAACGGCTTTTCATAAAGTTACTTAAAAAAAATAATGACTAAGGTAGATTGTAAGTTAATTAAATATATAGATATAAAGTATTTCAAGAAAAAATTATAGAATAAAATAATAAATTATAATAAGCAGTTGAAATTTCTTCTTAGAATTTTTTAAATTAATAAAATTAATAAAATTAAAAAAACAAAAAGTCAAAATATATGGAAAGTAAAGCTGAGAAGGATAATAATATTAAAGAAGAATAACTAAGAAATGAAAATTTAAAAAATTATATTATTTAAAAAATGAAAAATAATAATAATAATAGTATTAAAAATTAAATAAGTCTTTCTAATTCTATTAAGACAAATAATAATAATAATGATAATAGGATTAATTTAAACGATACTAATAATAAAATAATACAAACAATATAGTAAGTTATTCTAATACTAATATTACAAATTTTTAAAAAAATTAAATTATAATTTTATTAATACATTTAATTAAAAAACTTTTAGAAATAATTATATTATAGATGAAATTAGCGATAATAATGAATTCAAAAACATAGATGAAAATCTATAATATATAAACTCATGTATACACAAATAAATTAACATAAAATAGATAACTTTTATAGAAAAATGATTTAAAAAATATAATAATATATATATAAAAGAAATAAATTTAAATTATATAAATAAATAAAAAAAGAAAATATATAAATATATGTGAAGAAATAAAAATATATATAAATATTTATAATTATATAAATAAATACATTATATATATATATATATATATATTTATATTTATATATTTTTCTTTAATATTTACTTATATTATATATAATTTATGTAATTATAATTGAATAAAAATTTTTTTTTTAATAGTATACCT